CTTATTTTATTTTTTAAATTTATTTTTATTTTTTGAGTATTTTGTCATTTTTTCAAATTAATATGGGGGTATAATTTTTAGGTTACATTGTTCTCCCTTCCAGGGTAAAGTGCCATTTGTAGAAGAGCCCCTCACCCAGCGGGCGTGTTATACACCCTCACAGTGTGCACATTAGATGAGATCCTGCCTCCTGCCCTCCTTCCTCTGCCAAATGTCCTTCCCTTTCTCCCCTTCCTCCCCCCACTTCCCGCTACCCAGGAACTAGACTATATTAGTGTTAACACTTCTTATTTTAAATTAATCTGATTTTTACTGAAGCTTATTTCTTTTGGGCAAAGACTTCCCTCTTTAAATAATACATTTCATTCTTCTTCCTGATTTTTTTATCTCTTCTTGGCCTAACTTGGGAGGGATTTCTTCGGCAATAAATAACCTCTCCTTGTTTTAATGGCTTTTTTTTTTCTTTATTATGGTAAGAAAATACATAACAGAAAATTCACCATTTAAATCATTTTCAAGTGACATTTAATACCTTCACACTGTTGTGCACACTTGCCAGCACAAACCATATTCATTAAACAAGAAGTTCACATTCCCCTGTGACTGTTGTCTTTAACGGAGATAGATAACTATCCGTCTCTAGCTTTGTTTTCTTTATGTGAGTGAGCATATAATTGTTTTAGAGATATGTGGGAAAGGGATAGTTGCTAATATAATGTTGCTAATAAATTTAGAACCTACTGACAAAGGTATATAATTTGTAAAATAGCTGAGTGGGCAAAATTCTGATTTTCAGTTGCCCTAGGCTCTCCAGTGCACTTCTGATAATGATTTTCCTTGGGCATGTAGTTATACTGATAGAAATCACACCCATGGGGAAAGAGTGGGCTTAATTATACATAGCTACATACCTAATATGAGCTTTTACAGTTTTTTTTTTTTTACAAATACTTTCCAGTTTACAAAAGATGAGACATTAAATTTTAACTGATCTCAGAAAAGCACTGTACTCTCAGAGCACGAGAGTCTTTTGTATGAGTTATCCTCTTTATAAAGCGCTGTATTTCGCCTTCCCCTCTCTCTCTTTTGGAAATTGACTTCATTATGTGGTGATTCCACCTCTCATCTGTGAGTGTGACTCCAAAGACAGGCAAATGCACAAAGACCGATGCAGTAGGGTGAGGGTTTGGGATGCAGTCAGAAGTGGAGCAAAGTTAGCTGATTCCTATTGAGAAGACTTTTTTCTTTTCTTTTCTTCCTTCCCTCCTTTTATTTTTATTTATTTATTTTTTTTTTTTTTTGAGGTGGGATCTTATGCTGTCAGGCTAGGGTACACTGGCCCAATTATAGCTCACTGCAGCCTTGAACTTCTGGCCTCAGGCAATCCTCCCACCTCAGCCTCCCAACTAGCTAGAACCACAGGCACATGCTACCACACCCAGCTAATTTTTCTATTTTTTATAGAAATCAGGTTTCACTCTTGCTCAGGCTGGTCTCAAACTCCTGGCCTCAAGCAATCCTCCCATCTTAGCCTCCCAAAGTGCTGGGGTTGTAGGTGTGAGCTGCCAGGCCCAGCTGAGAAGATATTTCTTTATTTTCTCATTTGTCCTGAGCCAAATCACTTGCACTCCAAATAATAAAAATAAAATTAGTCAAAATGGCTCAAATTCTAATATACGTCCCAGGAACTGTGTGGTATGCTTAACAGGTATAATTCTGTTTAATCCCTACAATTCTGTGAGACAGGAATCAAATTCTCAATTTATGAGGCAGGAAACCTAAGGAACAGAAAGATTATAAAACTTTCCAGTGGTGCCCAGTGAGTGAGTGCCAGGCTGAGGAGTTAAATCCAGGCAGTCTAGAACCCTGTTCCTGGCTTCTCTAGGGACGTATTCTCCTGGGCTCTGTCAGGCTTAACAGCAGGGTTCCCGTGGATGAGAATTAGGGTTAAACTGAAAAATCCCCCCAAGTCCCCCCAAACAAAACCCCACAGCATTCTGGAAGGCCCACATAGGTGAGGTGAGTGACCTCCCCAGCTGAGGGCAGCACTCGGTCTGGAGGCAGAGGCTCTCCCGCTGAGGAAGGAACATGGGGAAGGCAGAGGCCGTGTCCTCCAGCCCCCATTTGTTATCTGGTTGGTGAGAGGACAGGGGAAAAAGGGACACTGCTGCATCCTTCTGAGACCTGCCACTGGCCCTCGAGGGACCCATTTCTTCAGAACTTAACTCTCTGGACTTGCTTGTCTGTGCCTGGCTTCTCCCCAGGCCTCCCCGAGAAGTTCTCTGCTGAGTGTAACTGATTTCAGCTGGTTTCTAGGCAGTGGTTTCCAGTTACTGGTGGGGGACCGTGGGGTGAGAATGACTCCTCTTCTTCCTCACAGTCCCCTGATTCTCCCAGGAATGTGGCCATATCAACACTTCTGAAAGCCGCTTTCATGCAAAGGCCTCCCCAAGTGAGAGACAGTTTTGGACAAAGAGGAGCAGTGATAGCTTCTGCCAGCAGTTGGGAAAGCTTATCCTCCTGTGTCTTAGGGGCCAGTCATAGTGATCCATAAGCTTTCAGGGGGACCTCAGAGTAGCTCCTGGCCACTCCGTCTCTGGCCTTCTCTCCATGCCAGCAGGGCCACAAATGCTCCTCTGACCTCGGCTCGTGCTTTGCTGCTCACAGGGTACAGTGATTCACACAACTTCAAACGAATAGAGATGGCATTTCCTGGGGACGTTCCTAACACCAAAGAATGTGCTTACAGATAGTGGTCGTAAGGTTTGTGAGTTAAGTTCACTCTGTGTCTGTGGGCGGCACTTGCAGGAGTAATTTTGTAGACTTTGAATCTTGTGCCCTCCTCCCGTAAAGAGGCAGCAGGCAGCTCCAAATAGCCCTGCAGGTCTCAGTCTCCTACTGCTCAGCTAAGCCCTCTGCTATTACCTACAGAGGGGAGCCCTGTTACACTCAGGTAATTACACCTTAAATTGAACTAAAAATAATTTCTGATGATTTTCATGCTGAAGCATAGTCTTTATTTCAGAATTGTGACATTACATTCATTATGCCATCATCACACAGTTCCATTATAACAACAATAGTGACAGTCGGCAGCTGAGTCATAGGAAGGATTTATTAGGACATATTTAAAGTTATGCCATGTAAGTAAAAATATGGAAGACCAGGTTTAGAATTGGGTTCTAAAAGGTGCCAGCTGAGACTTGGTGCCTAGAGATTAACCCTCCCACTCCCCACCTCACTCTTATCTTCTTTCTCGCCCCCTCTTGGACATCGTGGTGTCCTCAGCCTACTCTGAAAATACTGCCCCGTTTGGTCAAGTTATCCCAAAGATCACATAACAAGAAAGAGAGGTGCTTTCAAATTAAACGAATCCAAAGACAACCAGAATTGGTTTATTTTAATTTTCTTTATTTTATTTTAATTATAGCCACTTGGAGCCAGTGACTATTTGGAGATATCAAAGAATTTTGACACGGTATTTTTAAGAAACATTCCACAATTTACGCTGGCAAAGAGGTCTCAAACTCGGAGATTCATAACCCTCATTGATAACTTTTATGATTTCAAGGTAAGAAGGTAGTACATTTTCTCAAACGTCAACATTTTGGACTGCAGAGCCAGATTGCCTCGGCCAGAATCCTGGCTCGACCACTTCCTTTGCCTCTCTGTGCCTCAGTTTCCTCATCTGAGAATCTGGCAAGATAGCATTTACTTGACAGTGGTGTTGTGAGGACTAGAACAGCTAATCCACGTAAAGTGTTTGGAACAGTGTTTGGCACAAGCCGAACGCCACATTGGCACCATCAGCCACAGCAGCAGTAAGACACCCCACTTTGGTAATGATGTCGCCACTCTCCCAGGCAGATCGCACGCTCCTCTGTGATGCTGTGCAGACAACACAGTGCCTCGTCTACACTGAATGCTCAGTAAATATTTATTGCATGCATGAATGATTGGACAGATAAAAAATGAATGAGCAAATGAATGCGTGGATAAAGGACCATTCTGAATATTGGAGTGCTCTCCTCATGACTGAGAAACCCTGGAAACCAGCAATATACCATCTCGTCCTCTGGCTTTGTAATCCGTGTGTTGCAGCATGAATCGCAGAGCCACTGGCCAACCCCCACAGACAGTACCACCCAGTCATTACAGGGCAGGCCCTCAGGCCAGGCTATCTGTCCTGAAGACTGACTTACTCTCTCTGAGCTTCAGTTACCTTCTCTAGAAAAAGGAGATAATAATATGATACTTAGAAGATTATTGTGAAGATTATATGAGTATGCAAAGCTCTCAACAAAAGCATATAATAAGATCTCAACAAAAACGAGCCAGTAGTAATAGCATAGATCTGTAATACATATTCACAGTAAAAGCATGGGTACAATTTCAAATTAAAGTTCATTTAAATATTATTTTACTGTTAGATAGATATTTCTCCTATTCCTTGTACAGACTTAGAGCAGTGATTCTAAAATTGAAGGGACTTCGTGGGGAGAGAGCAAGTAACAGAATCTGGTGGGAGGAGGTGAGGTTTTAATGTTTCATTTGCTCATTTCATTCAACCTTTATCATGCCAAGCACAGTGCCAAGGACTAGAAATTCAAAGGCAAGCAAAGCCAGACACAGGGCCTGCCTTCAGAGAGCTTTCAGCCCCACGAGAGAAACCTGAATCAAATGCCCACAGAACTGGTGTAAAGTCACCACTGTGGGATAACCTTTTGGAAGGAGAAGGAGGCTCATCTGCTATAAGAAACTAGGCAGTGATTTTCCACCAGTGTGTTGTGAAAATTTTAAAGATCATTAATTGCATTATTTTCAAAAGGTGTTCAAAGCGCAGTGTTTTTGTACTCTTTTTTTGATAAAAATAATTTAAGTGTGCTGAGGAAGTTTAACTGTAGGTTCAAGTGAGCTGTTTGATAAAAAACACCGATCTAAGGGGAGAATACACTGATCTAGGGGGCGGGGAGTCCTCTGAGGACCACCTGCAACAGAACCATCGGGGCTACTTAAAAATCCAGATTTCAGGGCCCACCACATCCCTCCCCCACCAAGCAAATGAGGAACAGGCATGGAGCTTGGCACCTGCATGTTCTGTTTTGTTTTGTTTGTCTTTTTGAGACAGTCTCACTTTGTCACCCTGGGTAGAGTGCCCAGGCATGATAGCTCACAGCAAACTCAAACTCTTGGGTTCAAGTGATTCTCTTGCCTCAGCCTCCCGAGCAGCTGGGACTACAGGCTCCTGCCACAATGCCCGGCTATTTATAGAGATGGGTCTCACTCTTGCTCAGGCTAGTCTCAAACCTGAGAGCTCAGGGGATCTGCCCACCTCAGCCTCCCAGAGTGTTAGGATTACAGGCGTGAGCTGCCGTGCCCAGCACACAAGTGTGTTCCTATGCTTCTCAGGTCACTTTTATAAATGCTAAGACCTGTGAAACCTGAACTTCAAGTATTAGGTGAAAAGGGGTAACCAGGGTGGGGAGTCTGCAGCAAAGACCCTGCCATGAGCCAAGTATGAAAGTCAGCAAGTGTGGCTGTGGGGCAGCAGCTGAGGGCGGCCAGGCTAGTGAGCACCCTGAAAATCCACAGCATCATCAGAGTCAGGAGAGGAAGAGGCTGAGGCTAAAGAGCTGGGGAGCAAGGCCCTCGGTTGTGAGTGGTTGCCTTCTTCAGAGACCCTGCTCCCTAGTAATCTGTGGGCTGGAATGAAGGGCAAGGGCCTGGAGGTGGCCCTCTGTTTTTACAGAGCTAAGGCTTCAAGAAGAAAATGGTGCAGGGACATTGGTAGGCGGTTCTCAGCATGGAAAACCAAGAAACTCTTCTTATTTTCATATTTAGGCTAGGAATATCTTAAAGAAAGCTATGGTTCCCATCCCTTATTCCTACCCCCTAATCCTACCTCACCCCCACATTTTAATAAAGGAAAAAAGGATTTATCGGGCAATATGACAGAATACCTCACCCACTCTCCTAATACTTGCCTTAACTAAATCCCACATTTGGAGATCATACTCTTTCTTAAAGTGTAGTCAAAATTATCTTATGAAAGAGTTAGGGAGCATTAAGTAGACATTATTCTAGCACGTATGCCTGGGGATTTGTAAAGAAAGGGTATTCCCATGTAAATAATGAAAACAGTATCATCTATGATTAAAAGAATTTGTAAGGGGAAGTATATGCCATTTAGGTATGGAAAAGCTAGTCTCAAATGGCAACACATTGTTTTTAAGTATTTGCATGCTTATTTAAGTCATGGTTTACAAAGATAGCTAAGAATCCTGGAAATAAATTCAGGACTCTTTAAACATCAAGAATATGTTTTGGTTGGGTGCAGAGGCTCACGCCTGTAATCCTAGCACTCTGGGAACCCAAGGCAGGTGGATTGCCTGAGCTCAGGAGTTCAAGACCAGCCTGAGTCAGAGCGAGACCCCATCTCTAAAAAAAAAACAAACAAAAAACCCCCCAAATAGCTAGGCATTGTGGTGGGCACCTATAGTCTCACCTACTTGGGAGTCTGAGGCAAGAGGATCACTTGAGCCCAAGAATTTGAGGTTGCTGTGAGCTATGAAGCCACGGCACTCTACCAAAGGCAAGAAAATGAGACTCTGTCTCAAAAAACAACAAAAAAAAGATGTTTCCTATTTAAACTAGTGGATATAAAATATATAAATGATATAAAAGCTGTTTCCAGTATATAATCCCCTATGCACACTCACTCAAATACTTAAGTAATCAAGAAACATCAATGTAAAGCTTAATCTTTGAAGACTTGGCAGGATATTGTTATAAATGTGGGTTCTGGAAACGAGGATATAATTAGAGTAGTAATGAGTTGAACTTAGTTAGCAGTCAGCCATGCACAAAGTGGAAACCTTTTTAGGGAGTATCTGGGGAGCATCTTAGATGCACAGAGATGAGCTCCAAACAGCCAGGCACACATGTCAACATCAGAGCGTAAATGTCTATGTCAGGTTGTGGTGCTATGACAAAGTGCCACAGACGGGGTAATTGGTCAGTAATAAGAAAATTATTTCTCATACTTTTAGAGGCTGGGATGTCTAAGACCAAGGCTGTGGCAGGTTTGGCTGTTTGGTGAGGGCTGCTGTCTGCTTCGAGATGGTGCCTTGTTGCTGTGTCTTCCGGAGAGGACGATGCTGTGTAGAGGGAACGAAAGGCACGGAAGCACTGAACTCTCTCCACCGAGCCCTTCATAAGGGCCTGTAATCCCACTCATGAGGGTGCAGCCTTCACGACTCAATCACCTCCTAAAGGCCACACTTCTTAATATCATTGCATTGGGGATTAAGTTTCAACACAAATTTTGGAGGGGACAAAAACATTCAAACCATATGAGTCATGGAAAGAGCAATAGAATTGGGACCAGAAGATCTGGGCTGACATCATGAACCGGAAGTTTCCCAGTAAAACCTTTGCCCCCCCCCACAGGGTTCTATAAGCTATGGGGAACATTTTGAAAAGTACTGTGCACTTTAAAAATGCCACTTTAAGGAGACAAAATATTGGGACAAATATGGACATTAAAAAAGCAAGGATCCAAGCTCCCATAAGTGACAGATTTTTAGTTTTGTGAGCGAGTTCTCTTACCTTCAACTTGTAAAATGTGAAGCCTGACCCCGTTTTCTCATGCTCCTCTGTTTCAGGTGCGTGTAATTTGCTCGGCGCTGACTCCTCTATCAAGCTTATTTTTGTATCAACATCATGACAGTGAGCTGGAGCAAAGCAGAATACTGATGGATGATTTGGGGCTGAGCCAGGTAGGCGATAGTAACATAATTTCTTTTTATTATGAAACAGCTTAATTGTTTTTTGGTTTGATACATGGCTACATTTTAAAGAAGAATGCAATATATAGTTAACCATTGATTTGCTGCTGCTTCTAAAGCTAGTGCAGCAGACTGAATCATTCTCAATATCATGAAATATAGAGAATGACAATCCTAGCGGGAAGGGACCTTCGTGATCATGTAGTCCCACACTTGGTTTTGCATATGACAAAAACAAAGCCCAGAGGGTGGACTAATGGGCCCCCAGTCACACTGCTGAATAATGCAGGCCAGAGCTGGATGCCAGGGCACCTGCATCTGGTTCTGGGCTCATTCTGCTACACCATGCTGCCTTTTCTGGCTATCCTGCTTCCTGATTGCAGGATTTATAGAGCGTGTGGTACAGTAGCCAAGCATGTGAGCTGGATAGTACAAGACTATGGGATTCCTAGTAAGGCCCTTGATTCATTGCCCAGCCTTCATTTATGGAGCACCTGGGGGTGCCAGACTCTGGGACGCTGTGTAGGGAACACACTGATGCTGGTCCATTTCCCCTGAAGCTTGGAGTCTGGTGATTGACCCTAAGCCAAGCAGAAATGACTTTGCATTTTCTTCTTTTATAAGAACGTGACATGGTATATTTCTTAAGTATCAACAATTAAAATATTAGTATAAAATTTTAAACTATGAATACTTACCCCTAGAATGAAGACAGCCCCATTCTTCCAGTGTCAGAGGTGAGAGGCCATTTGTAATGAGGAAACAGTTCCTTACTGGCCTGGGTAGAAATGATGCCTTCTCAGGGGTTTGGGAGAATGAGGCCTATAGTCCTTTTAAAAATGAACTTTTAAAATATGATTACTTAAACCTATGTGTATTTCTTAGTCTGTTCAGGCTGTTATAACAAAATCCCATAAGCTGGGTGGCTCATAAAAACAGAAATGTATTTCTCACAGTTCTGGAGGCTGGACGTCTAAGATCAAGGCCCTGGATTTGGTGCCCTGTGACGGCCCACTTTCGGGTTCATAGACCTCTGTCTTTTTGATATAAAGCTCACATGCTGGAAGAGGTGAGGGCTGCCTCTGGGGCCTTTTTTAGTATGGGCATTAATCCTATGCACAAGGGTACACATTAATCCTGTGTACCTTAAGACACAATCATCTCTCAAAGGCTCCGCCCTCCTGACAGTGTCACCCTGGGAGTTCGGATGTCAATATCTGAATTTTGGCTCAGCACCCGTAGCTCAATGGTTAGGGCACCAGCCACATGCACCGGGGCTGGTGGGTTTGAACCCAGCCAGGGTCTCCTAAACAATGATGACAACAATAACAAAAAGATAACCTGGCACTGTGGCAGGTGCCTATAGTCCCAGTTACTTGGGAGGCTGAAAGAATCACTTAAACCCAAGAGTTTGTGGTTGCTGTGAGCTGTGATGCCACAGCATTCTACCGAGGGTGACATAGTGAGAGTCTGTCTCCAAAAAAAAAAAAAAAAAAATCTGAATTTTGAAGAGACACAAACATTTAGATCATAGCAGTAGAAATAAATAGCTGTTTGTAAATCTCTCTGTGCTGGGACTATCTGAAGTATTGGTTCTCTAAGAGCATGGGTTCTCAACCTTCCAAATGCCACGGCCCTTTAATACAGTTCCTGTGGGTCGTGATGCACAGATTGAGAACTGCTGTCAAGAGCAACACATCCTAATACTGTCAGTGACAATTCAAAAAAGACACTTGAGGGGCTATATCAAATCAGTTTCTAAAGTCCTTTAAATCATTGGCTTTGAAATGTTTTTCCCTAGGGTCAGGGCAAAATAAAGCTCAGCACATGGGGTCACTTACATTAATGCAGAAATCAGGGAATGTGTCCTCAGGGTCATGAAGTTTCACAGTGGATCAGTGGAGAAGAAGGATGTAAGATTCCAGAATTTTCTCTTTTTTTTTTTTGCAATTTTTGGCCAGGGCCAGGTTTGAACCTGCCACCTCCAGTATATGAGGCCAGCACCCTACTCCTTTGAGCCACAGGTGCCTCCCCAGAATTTTCTTTTGAAAAAGCATAACAGCAAACTCCTAAGAAAAGAGAGGAAAGTTCAAAGCCCATAGTGGCCATGATCCCACGTGGTGTCACCAGTCAGGACTGTTTACTGGCTGCACAGACACAGAGTTCTCCAGCTTGCCCAAGATGCATGGATTCGAGGCACATTCTCCAGGACTCAGGACTGGGCAGGGTCTTTTAGTCATCAGTTTGGAAAAGGCTCTTTAGAGGTTTATCCTTCGGGTCTCCCCTAAGGCTTGGGCCCTTGTCTTTGAAGCTTCGGAGGCCTCCATCATCCTCTTCCTAAAGTATCAGAATTACCATATATATATATAATGTATGTGTGTGTGAGAGAGAGAGAGAGATGAAGTTCTCCCTTTTAAGTTTTCTCTTTGGCAATTTGTTTTGTTTATTGCCTGTCAGTTACATTAATTGATTCTTTAATTTGAAATTATTTATGAAAAAATTTTGTGGAAAATTTTACAGTCTAAACAGGGAAACATAAAAAGCTTTTTAAAAACCTGCACTAAGTTCTATAAATTTTCACAGTTGGTGGTTTTGACTGGTGCTGGGTTTTTGCTTGTTTGTATCTTTTGTAACCAGGACTCAGCAGGACTCTCCATGTTTACCGGAGAAGAAGAAATCTTCGCCTTTCAGCGCACAATCTCCCGACTCACAGAAATGCAGACGGAACAGTACTGGAATGAAGGGGACAGAACCAAGAAGTAACTGTCACTTTCACATGAATAAGACTCCAGACTAATGGTTAATGCAGGGAGCATGATACTGTGGGACTTGAAGGAATCATTTTCACATCATTAATTATGCACTTTGTCCTCTGGACCATTTTAATCTAAAATTGCTGTCAAAGATGTAGTGGATTAGTAAGTTAAAGACTTACCATTTTCATAGGTCTACTCTTTCCTATTTATTTGGCCTTATTTCTGCACCACAAAATTAAAATCATCACTCCTGAAGATTCATGTAGAATCAGACATTTTAGCTTCACATTAACCTACCTGAATGAACCCTAAATACATAAGCACACAATTTGTGCAGGGTGTCTGGGTGCCCCCGAGATTTGGCTACCTGGTGGTGACACCTGGGAAACACATTCTTCATAAGAGAAGAAAAGCAAAACGCACTCTATGTTTTAATTCAAAACAAAGCTTTCCAATTTCATTATAAACTGAAAGGAATAAAAGGAATATAACATTTGAGAATATGGGTTTATACATGTGATTTTTTTTCCCTTTTGGCTATGAATTATAATAAACTTCCCGATCCTTCAGGTTCCTCAACAACAGAAAGAGTATGTTTTCTACTCCTATCTGGAATCAAGCTTGGTAGGCAGAGTTCTCTCAAAGTTGTCTGAAAAAATCAAGGATTATGACACCATCAGGTAAGGAACAAGTGTGAAATTCCAACCAATGGGGAGCTCTGCAGGCAGGTACCCCAGTGTGGGCAACCAGGGAGAGAGGGTCCCCATTCAAGAAAAAAATATATGAAAGCCACAGTCTTGTGAAAATCAGGCATTTTGGGGGGGTGGGTTAGGCATCAAACAGTGTTTATAATCATCAACATAAGTAAGCTCTTTGAACCTATTTATTTATTTATTTTTGAGACAGAGTCTTATTATGTTACCCTCGGTAGAGTGCCATGGCGTCACAGCTCATAGCATCCTCCAACTCTTGGGCTTAAGTAATTCTCTTGCCTCAGCCTCCTAAGTAGCTACGACTACAACGCTGGCTGTTTTTTGGTTATAATTGTCATTGCTGTTTGGCAGGCCCGGGCTGGGTTCAAACCCGCCAGCTTCGGCGTATGTGGCTGGCACCCTAGCAGCTGAGCTACAGGCACCGAGCCTGAACCTATTTATTAATATTTTTCCACATTAGTCTATTTTGGACATTAGCCCAATGAAGTCATGCAAATGGATGGATGGGTACCCAAGCATAGAGAAAAGTTTAAATCACTTCTTTCGAAAATTAAATGTAGTTTAAAAATATTTTTATTCAAGTGAAACACAATGAGTTCCATAGTGGTTAAGTAATAGGGAGAAACAAAAGGAGATAACCTGTATGTGCCAGGGTTTTTTTTGTTTGTTTTGTTTTGTTTTGTTTTGAGACAGAGCCTCAAGCTGTCGCCCTTGGTAGAGTGCCCTGGCATCACAGCTCACAGCAACCTCCAACTCCTGGGCTCAAGCGATTCTCCTGCCTCTGCCTCCCAAGTAGCTGGGACTACAGGTGCCCGCCACAACACCGGGCTATTTTTTGGTTGCAGCCATCTTTGTTGTTTGGTGGGCCCCAGGCTGATTTGAACCCGCCAGTTCAGGTGTATGTGGCTGGCGCCATAGCTGCTTGAGCCACAGGCGCCGAGCCTGTGTGCCAGATTTAATGCTAGATATTTACTATCTAATGCTTAGTTAAAAAAAAAAAAAAAGTCCTAGAAAGTGAATATAATCTTCCCTCTTTACAGATAAGGAAACTGAGGCTTAGAAAAGTTAAGTAGCCTGAAAACTACAAAACGCATGTACTATATTTTATGCCATATTGCCTCCTCCTCTCCTCACGTGATCTCACTATAAAAAAGAGATCATTTTAAATATTTGATTCATTTTTTAAACTCAGTGAAGTTGAAAATGAATTTACAAAAGAACCATTGCTTTGAAGTCAATAAATATAAAATTTTTATTCTTTAAATCTTAGTTTTTTGCCTTTCACATTTCTTTGACAATTATTCTGTGTCTTAATTAAAAAAAAAAACAACCAGTATGATTAGATAGACAAATGGACAGCAGGACTGATAGAGGAACTTTCTCTGAGTGTGCGGGAATGTGTAGAACAGCCCCTCACTCAAGTTCTGCTGTGAAAGCTCATTAGAGGACAAGTATTTGGAATAAAATTTCATATTTCTACAGAAACAGTAACATAACATTAGGGTCCTGTTTCAATGTGCAGAAACCTATGCAATTCTTAGTATTGCTTCCCTAAACTGTGATTTTTGGTAATAAGAAACTTAAATACTTTTAAAAAATATTGTTTCTGTAGGGTAAAACCCAGGGTTCAGACTCCACCCGAGTCACCAGGGTATGTGCCTGCTTTCGTGCAGCTCGGCCTGGTGGGAGGAGGAAGAGGCCATCTACATCTACGCTGCAGGGAGTGTGCATGCCGATTGCGGCCAAGGGGGATTCCTCTCCTATCCAGAAGGGAGGAAGGCGTTCCCTGGTAGCTGGAAACCCACAAAGTCTGTTTCACAAAACAGCATGTATGAAAAAGAAACAAAAGTCTTCAAGCATAGCCGTGCCAGGAAACAATATGGTGGCTCTACTGAAAGGAAAGCACTGCCAAAATGAAACGTGAAAAACAGTCACTAGGTTGGAGAGCAGCTTTTCTTTTAATTCCCGAGTCTCCCTTCCCAGTCCTGCCCTGTTACATGCTGAACATTCCCATCTTTCTTCTTGGGGTTGCATAAAATCTCTCAGAGCAAATGCTCTGTTTTGGAATGCTTTAAATGTATACTTGAAGATGGAGGTCTGAGCTGAGGGGCGCTGTGGAAGGTTCCCACTCACCTAGAAACTCAGACGAAGACATTTTGGGAGTCAGGAGAAAAGGCAGCATGTAACCGGCTCCCTCCAAAAAGATGGGTAGTCCCCAGACTTAACAGAAGTCAAGCAGAGAAAAAGGAAAACTTTCTTTAGAAAACGTAAAAAGAAAAATCTGCTCACTGCAGTATTCTTGTGTTTATTTAGGCAATACACAAAGTTCCTTGCTGATATCAGTAATAATGAGATGAAAAACATGGTGGGCTTAAGAAATATTTAACTTATATCTGAGGCCAAAGACTAGACTCATTTAAATCAAATTTTTGTATTTCAGTGTGGGATTTCAAAGGCAATACCTTAATCTTCTTAAAGTATATTTCCTATACTTAAAAGTGTACAGATAAAACAATTTTAAAACTAGGTGGAATTTTGAAATAAATTAAAATTTCACTTATAAAATATCCAAGTGGATATGCTCCTATCCATTTCAGAAACAGATAGAGCTTACTATGTCCTAGGCATGGCTCTAAGTGCTTTACAAATAAACTCTTTTGATCCTAATAACAGTTCTATGTAATAGGTACTGTTATTACCATTCTATAGACAGAGAAGCTGAGGCACAGAAATGGCTAAAACAGTAATAAAGTGCTAAGATCTCCACTAGAGTCAATAAAATTATCAGAACACTAATTTATTAAACTTTCAGTTGGGCACAGTGGTTTATGCCTATAATCTCAACACTTTGGGAGACCGAGGCAGAAGGAGTTTGAGATTCACCTGGGCAACATAGCAAAACCTTGTGTCTAGGAAAGATTAAAAAAACTTATCCAGGCATGGCAGCACAGTCCTATAGTCCTGGCTTCCCAGGAAGCTGAGGCAGGAAGATCCCTTGACCCTAGGAATTCAAGGCAGGGAGATATGATTCTGCCACTGCACTCCAGCCTGGGCAACACAGTGAGACACTGTCTCTAAAAAGAAGAAAAAAATTTTCATGTAGCTGCCTCTGAACCAAAAACACTATTCCAAGTCCATGTACCGTGAACCTACTCTTGGCTGCCCTTTATCTGAGATTTAAAAAAAAAAAATCCAGAAGGATTGGAGACCTGGGTTTCTGACATTTGGGTTCCTGACCAGTGACAGGAATCTGCCTGGCAGCAAGCCTGTTAGTGACCTTGTAAATTACCTATATTAGAGCCACTAATCTCTCACAAGACATCACTTGGCTGTTAGAAAAGGATTGCTTGGCTCGGCACCTGTGGCTCAAGCGGCTAAGGCGCCAGCCACATACACCTAAGGTGGCGGGTTCGAATCCCCAGCCCAGGCCCGCCAAACAATGATGGCTGCAACCAAAAAATGGCCAGGCGTTGTGGCGGGCGCCTGTAGTCCCAGCTACTTGGGAGGCTGAGGCAGGAGACTCATTTGAGCCCAGGAGTTGGAGGTTGCTATGAGCTGTGATGCCACGGCACTCTACCCAGGGGGATAGCTTGAGGCTCCGGCTCAAAAAAAAAAAAAAGAAAAGGATTGCTTTGGAGACAAGTGTACAACTTTTTACAAAGTCAGAATTAAGATTAGTTTTCTCCATTAGCATACAGCAGTTTATTTTTCTGAAACAAAAATTTGTAAATGATGAAATCTGTCTTTAAGTCAAGTATCTACTGACTCAGTCCAGCATCTCACTGGAAACCTCATATCTGTCCCTTCAGCTGGTCACTCAGTTCAGTCCATTCTGCCTGTCTACTGACCTTTTGTCTGTGATGGTGTGAAGCTTGAGGGCATCATCGGTCTTTCCTGCCTACTTAGGGGAGTCTTCCAGAGGTATCCCTGAGGAGTTTACTCTCTCACGGTTGTACTTTCCAGGTTCCCAGCAGTTGACTACTGAGCTCTGTGTTGCAGTAGGAAGGGCTCAGGATCTGGAAAATTTAGTTCTACCAATATTGCTTTGTGACCTTGAAGAAGAGAGTGCTCAGAGCCTTAGTTTTATCATCTCATAAATGGGAATAATAATGCTCATTTCATCGAGTCGTTCTGAGGATAGTTGGTGAAAAGCACTTTGCAAATGGTAAAGGATTTTAAATGAATATTCGTTGTTATTGACACTAACGATTATGATCATAATCTGTAATGCACACCTGCTTTCTGCTTGGCATTAGAGCCCTTTGAGGAATGCAAAACGGAAGACGGGTCTAACCGATGGTTTTCAGCAGAAAGAGAAAGATACACGTTACATGGCTAGACAGCACTGGCACAGGATTCCGGCTTAAAGGAATGCTGGAGCAGGTTGTTAAATTCAAATCCATTTTTTCAGGATTGTTTAATGCAGAAAATGGATTGTTGCCTGTTTGGCGAACGTCAAAGATTTCCAGAAAGAGGGCACCATCTTGTGGTCAGTGGGATGAACTGACATAAAAAGAAGGCCAAGAATCGCGCGGGGTTGGAGGGAACCGCGGTTCTCGGTGGGGCGCGGCGTTACGAGGCCCGGGTCCCACGTCCAGAGGGTCCGGTATGGTGAGACGTGCGGCCCTCGCTTGCTAATACTCCCCAAGGGCTTCTCATGTGCGCAAGGTCGATCAGGCCGACGCGGAGCCTCTGCGGTGGCTGCACAGCCGTCAGCACATGGAGCCTGCCAGCCGCTGGGGCTCCTGCCTCCGGGCACGCGGGGAACGGAGGCTGCGGCCGCGCCGCTCGCTGGGCCTGGCGCCCGGTCACCGGCTCACCAGCGCCGTCCCTGGTCCCTCCTGGTGCCAGCGCCTGTCCCTCCTAGAGACAGGGACGCTGTCTTCTCCACCCCCGGGCTCACACCATCCAGGTAGCTAACCGGGCCCTTTCTGGTTTACAAAGCG